GCTTGGTTGTCCTGGGGGATTTTAACATCCATGCCGACACGACCTTACAAGGGGCCACTCGGGACTTCATGGAAAGCATGGCCTCCATGGGGCTGTCCCTGAATAAGTCTGGCCCAACCCATAGCCGCAGACATGCCTTGGACCTGGTGTTCACCTCTATGGATGTTGGTGATCTGACACTAAGTAAAAGCGAAACGAAAGAAGTGCCATGGTCAGATCCATTCCTGGTGCAACTGGACTTCTCCGTGACCCTTCCCCTCTGCAGGGAGGTGGGACCGATTCGGATGGTCCGCCCCCGCCACTTAATGGATCCAAATGGTTTCCAGAGTGTGGTAGGGGATGCTTTATCTCATGCTGATGGCCTTTCAGCCGATTCCCTGGTGGCCCGCTGGAATGTGGAGTTAACCAGGGCTATTGACTGTTTGGCTCTGAAGCGCCCTCTCCGATTGCATGGAGCCTGGACAGCCCCGTGGTTTTCCACAGATCTGAGGGCAATGAAACAATCGTTGAGACGGCTAGAGCGCCGGTGGCGGATAACTCATTCTGAAGCTGACCAGACACGGGTTAGAGCTCAATGTCGAGCCTACCAAGTGGCGGGAAGCGATGGCGAAGAAGACTTTCTTCACCGCCTCTATTGCATCTGCAGAAAACAGCAGCAGGAGACTTTTTCAGGTGGTTCGCAATTTAGCCGAACCACCTGCTACATCAGGGCCCAGTACGGGCCACCTGATCTCCTGCAATGATTTTGCAAAGTTTTTGCAGATAAAGTTGCTCAGATTCAAGAAGAGGTAGACTCCACCGTGGGAGCAGGGCTGGGGTGGGAGAGTGCTAGAGAGTGCTAGAGTCCTGTCTAGTCAAGTTGCGTGGGATCAATTCCAATCTGTTACCTCCGAGGATGTGGACAGGCTGCTTGGACGAGTGAAACCAACCACCTGTCTCCTTGATCGTTGCCCATCCTTGCTTATAAAAGCTAGCCGGGAAGGGCTGGGCGATGGGCTTCGTAGGGTGGTGAATGCTTCCCTCCATGAGGGAGCCTTCCCAGACCCGCTGAAAGAGGCGGTTATTAAACCGCTTCTTAAAAAAAATCTTTAGTTATGGCCACGATGGGCAACTATCGCCCAGTCTCAAATCTTCCATTCTTGGGCAAGGTGATTGAGCGAGTGGTTGCTGAACAACTCCAGGCACGCCTGGAAGAAGCGGACCATTTGGATCCCTTCCAGTCGGGATTCAGGCCTCACCACGGGACTGAAACTGCCTTGGCCGCACTGGTTGATGATCTCCGGTGGGCTAGGGACAAAGGTGAGAGCTGTTTCCTAGTTTTGCTGGATCTCTCAGCAGCGTTTGATACCATCAACAATAACATCCTTCTGGACCGTCTTGAGGGGCTGGGAGCTGGGGGCACTGTCATACAGTGGTTCCGCTCCTTCTTCCTCGGCCGTGTTCAGAAAGTGGGGGGGGGATGAGTGTTCCGACCCCTGGGCTCTCACTTGTAGGGTGCCTCAGGGTTCTGTCCTCTCCCCCATGCTTTTCAACATCTACATGCAGCCGCTGGGAGAGATCATCAGGGGGTTTGGGCTGGGTGTTCATCAGTATGTGGATGATACCCAGCTCTACCTCTCTTTTAAATCAGAACCAGTGAAGGCGGTGAAGGTCCTGTGTGAGTGTCTGGAGGCGGTTGGAGGATGGATGTCGGCTAACAGATTGAGGTTGAATCCTGACAAGACAGAAGTACTGTTTTTGGGGGACAGGAGGCGAGCAGGCGTGGAGGATTCCCTGGTCCTTGATGGGGTAACTGTGCCCCTGAAGGACCAGGTGCTCAGCCTGGGAGTCATTTTGGACTCACAGCTGTCCATGGAGGCACAGGGCAAATGTGTATCCAAGGCAGCTGTTTACCAGCTCCATCTGGTACGTAGGCTGAGACCTGTATCTGCCTGCGGACTGCCTCGCCAGAGTGGTGCATGCTCTGGTTAGTCCGCTTGGACTACTGCAATGTGCTCTACGTGGGGCTACCTTTGAAGGTGACTCGGAAACTACAACTAATCCAGAATGCGGCAGCTAGACTGGTGACTGGGAGCGGCCGCCGAGACCATATAACACCGGTCTTGAAAGACCTACATTGGCTCCCAGTATGTTTCCGAGCACAATTCAAAGTGTTGGCGCTGACCTTTAAAGCCCTAAACGGCGTCGGTCCAGTATATCTGAAGGAGCGTCTCCACCCCCATCGTTCTACCCGGACACTGAGGTCCAGCACCGAGAGCCTTCTGGCAGTTCCCTCACTGTGAGAAGCCAAGTTACAGGAAACCAGGCAGAGGGCCTTCTCGGTAGTGGCACCCTCCCTGTGGAATGCCCTCCCACCAGATGTCAAAGAGAACAACAACTACCAGACTTTTAGAAGACATCTGAAGGCAGCCCTGTTTAGGGAAGCTTTTCATGTTTGATGTATTGCAGTGTTTTAATATTTTTTTTGGAAGCTGCCTAGAGTGGCTGGGGAAGCCCAGCCAGATGGGCGGGGTATAAATAATAAAGTTGTTGTTGTTGTTGTTGTTGTAAACAATCTCTTCCTTTGGTAGACATGATTGTTGCATTACTGTTAATTTCTCTCATCTACTTTTGATCAGCCTACTGCAACCAGGGCCAGATTTTGGTCTGATGAGGCCCTAAGCTACTGAAGGTAATGGGGCCCTTTATATGTCCAGCTGTCCTTTATCAACAAGAAATTGTTGCTGTTTTTTGTGTTGAATATATGCTATATGGTAATTTATGGACCTAATAGGTCCACACACAACACAAAACACTGTTCCTGTATGTAGGTTTTATTTTATTTGTTTTTTATCTTATATTTTGGAAATGTACATCCAGGTTTTTTCCTTTACATTTTCTGAGGGCCCCAAGAGAGTGGGGCCCTAAACTATAGCTTTTTTAGCTTATACGTAAATCCAGCACTGACTGCAACTGTTAGCTGGATTGTCACTCTTTGACTCCTGCCTTTCTTGATGACTCTGCTTTTGCTTGATGGGCTCTGAAATCCAGTCAGACCTGCTCTGGATCCTTATCAGCAGTGAAAAAATTTGCTCTTTTCCACCTTGGCAGAATGTATTACCCCAGTTATGAGCTGGCACTGCAACATGTTCATATAGAATCAGAAGAATCTTTATTTGCATCAGCCACTAGCCAAAGCAATAAAATAAAATGTACTGAAGATAGAGGTAAAAGCTTAACAATAAAAAATACATTTTGGGCGTTTACATCAATAATCAAATAACAGATCTTATTCTAATTGCCATATCTTATGTAGCCATATCTTACAAGGAAGTTGTGTGATTGGTTATTTAGATTAGTGTTGCCTAATTTGGCTTTGTGGTGCTGTTAAATAGTAAAATATGACTGGCTACTGTCATGAAATTCTACTCAATATCACCCAGAGCAGAACTCCAATGTATAGTTAGCAGAGTAAAACCTTAAACAAGTTGTCGGATTCCCAGTAAATAGACAAGAGGCAATTGTATTTCATCCAGCAGAGCTTTACTGCTACTGAAGGCAAATGAGCATAATGGTCACAAATCCAATACATGCAGGACTGGCACTGTCCATAAGAACTCCAGTTGCAGCAGACTTAAACTTATAATAAATTATAATAAGTCTAAACCTTAACACTAAGCATACTATGTACAGAACACCACACCAGAAGGAAAGAAAGACAGAAAGGAAAGCGAAACCCAGGCTCAGCTTCTCTGAAGGAATAACCCAAACATCATGAACTTTCTGCTTGTTTCTTTCACACAGAGAAGCTTCCAGAAACCATCTTGAATTAATTAGAATAGGAAAGATCTCTACATATCAGATCAATACTTTCTGTACTAAGAAATGCAAACTCACGGCTATATGGTAAAAGGATATCAGGGCATTCAATATAGGTAGATCATGAGTTTGGATTACACAGAAATCTATCAGTTTTTTTTGTTTTCTGTGCAATTTTAATAATACAGGGTTCCTCTATAGGAGGCTTAGGCATATGAACCCTAAATATGTCACTGGACACCAACTCCCATCAGCTTCAGCCAGCATGGCCGTTGGTCAGGAATGATGGGAGTTGGAGTCCAGCAATGTCTCGAGGGTCACAACGTACCCACCTCTGCTGCATAGATTACACTTGAATATTCATAGAATGTCTAATGATTGGAACAATAGTTGATAAACTTTACTGTTCTGATAACTTATTACAAATACTCATCATGATTAGGAGAATGTTCGCAACATTTCCAACACTTACAGTGTGTGTAAGTAGGAAGATGTGAAGGAAACAAATGTGCTTCAAGTGTTTCCTGATAGTTTTGTACTGTATTTGGTAGAAAATGTATTTTACAAAGCATAAATTGTATTGCCTTGTTAACTTGTTAACTGCCTTTAAAAGTGTGTGTGTGAAATGTGAGGGTGGGGGTGTCTTGCTGTCATTTTGTTGCCTGAGAACATGGGAGTGTGAAGACTTCAAGCAGGCTCTGTCCGGAAAAAATTATGAAGACAGGCAAGCAATGGACTAATGATTTATGCATTGCTATGAAAGTCTGTATTTTTGGAGCAAGAAGACCAAACCCTCTCTTGGGCTCAAGGGAGAGAAATAAATTGTATTGAACTCAGTGTATAAATAATACAGCTTGTTCAGTTGTTGCCATCCTGACAAGTAAAGATTCATCTTCAATTTTTGTTTAAGGAGTCTCTTTTACCACAAAGGTTTGGGGGTGAAACTGCAGCACAAATCTGAATGAATCAAAAATAGCTAACATTTTCCAGCATGAAGATTGGTTTTGGCAAGTTATTAAAAATATGTGCTAGCTTTACTACACAGTTAATTAGACTACAGTGTTGAAAATCAATCTCACTCACTTATATCACTTTATTTCATAGAAATACTTCATTTCAAATCAACTCTTAAAATTTACCTTTGATGATATGCACTTATTATAAAGACACTACTGTGTTACTACAACATTAATCCAAGAAACTGGGATGATAAAGTAAAATACTGAAGCACTGATCACTGAAGCACTACACTGTATTTTCCTTTCAGATATCTGCCTAAATTTTATACTTCATCATCAGTCTCCACATAGCAACTTTGATCTCCTTGTTCCTTAGTGTGTAGATTGTGGGGTTCATCAAAGGGAAGACCACAGTGTGGAAAAAAGCCACTATCTTGTCAAAGGGGAAATCTTGGAAGGGACGGCAGTAGATGTAGATAGCCGGACCAAACATGATGAAGACAATGATGATGTGGGTGATGCACGTAGAGGAGGCTTTGCTCTTCCCTTGACCAGAGCCTGTCCTCACCTTGACCAGCAAAGCCCCATATGAAATGAGGAGGAGGATGAAACATCCAGTAGTGACCAGACCACTGTTAACAAACATGACAAATTCTAATGCATAAGTGTTGGTGCAAGCCAGCTTGATGATCTGGGTGATGTCACAAAAGAAATTGTCCAGTTCATTGGGGCCACAGAAAGGAAGTGGTATGATGAGAATCACCTGGATTATAGAATGTATGAATCCTCCTGCCCATGAACCTGCAACTAACATCCAGCAAACCACTCTGGTCATCACAGTGGCATAGTGCAGTGGGTGGCAGATGGCTACATACCGATCCACAGCCATGGCAATAAGGAGGTTGATCTCGGCCCCACCCAAAAAATGAATGAAGAAAAGCTGTGCAATGCAGCCCCTGTAGGAGATGGTTCTGCAGCCAGCCAAGACGTTGGCTATCATCTTTGGAGGGGTGACACAGCTGTAGCAGATGTCCATTAAAGCCAAATTGGCCAAGAAGAAAAACATGGGGGATCCCAGATGGGAATAATTCAAAATGGTCACAATGATAAGGATGTTCCCAGGTAGGATGATGACATAGAAGAGCAGGAGGAGACAACAGAGGAACAGCTGCAGCTCCCAGATCTGTGATAATCCCTGGAGAACAAACTCTGTCACTACTGTATAGTTCAGTTCCATCTCCACTACTGTATGGTTCCATTGTTCCATTTTTAGAGTGCATAGCTCTGCAGTCAAATAATGATGAAGATATTAAACAGGAAAAATCTACAAGGTGGGTTTCCCCTCTCCCCCTTTCACCTCAAGGTTATATAAACAGTGCATACAGGCCATTGACTGGCTGGTTTGTAAGAAACCAGTGGTCCAGTTATCATTTGGGTATCTTGTCGAGCTGCTGCTTTTTCAAAAGGCAAATGAAAATTCAATTTCAATTGAAAAGAAGTTTATCATACTGGTATAGTTTTCAAAGTGCCAGGAATAGGTCACTTTCTTGACTAAAGCTTGGTAATCTCTTTTGTACCAAACATGCATTTCCTCTAATAAACACTGGCTTCCTTGTTTTCCTAAAAGCAGAGTTTCAGTGTGATTATATCTGGGGGAAAGCATGCTTCTCCAAGAGGGGTTCAGGATTCAGTTCAGCTTCTGCTGAGAATTCACCTCCAAATGCCAACAACATAGTCTCTGGCCATTGTCCATACTGTCTGGGCCTTGATGAAGACCAGCAACACCAAAAGGACCACAGGTTTTCCCTCCCTGTTCTAGTGAAAGAATTGCAAGGAGGGTTATTCTCTACTGGCTATTGACTGAAATAAAAAAATGAGAAAAATAGAGTGGTGAAATTTCTATTTAATAAGCATCAGTTTGAGGCTCATCTGTGCATTTCATATTTTAGTGCTCTTTCACTTGCTGCCCAACTTAATGCAGTAGAAATAATGTTATGATTGGCTACTAATGTCCTCCTTGTTAGGTTACTGGTGTGCTAATAGTTTAGGCTGAGTGCTCAGTGTGTAACGAACTCTCTCTCTCCTCTGGGCAATATATATGAGTTATATACATCTTTTGAATTAGATACCCATCAGATCAGGAAGAGATAAGAAATATCCAGCTGTGGGCAGAAGTGGGTAGAGAGAACGAGCAAAAATATTTGATTAGAGAGATCTTGTGCTCATAGTGCCTAAATGGAGTTAAGAGAGTACAGAAGTTGTTCTCTGAAGATTTATTGCCTGCTTTAGGAGCGCCTGCTTGCTTCCATCATTCTTTGCTTGGATATTTGTAAATAAAGCAAATATGCTGAACCTTACATTCCGTTCCATGTATAAATAATGGGGCTGAATAATCATAGGAAATAGATACACATACATAAAGGTTCTCTCTCAGATACCCACATTATGGACCTGTGAAGTAGAAAATATGCAGACACATGAGTTTTCCAGAAGAGGGACCTCAAAATATTGCCTTTCTTTTTCTGAACCCCAGTCCCTCCAAGAGAAAAGGCATGATTGTTCTTCTCTCATTAAAATGGGTTCAAGTTTTAGACTATCTTTTGCAATATAGAAAACAATGAATGTATGTTTCCCTTTAAACTACTAATGAGAGAAAAACAGTTTAGATAAAGAATATAAGAACATAGGAACATATTGAACATAGGAAGCTGTCTTATACCGAGTGAGACCATTCGTCTATCTAGCTTGGTATTATCTGCACTGACTGGCAGTTGCTCTCCAGGATTTTAGACAGGAGTCTTCCCTACCTGGAGAACCCAGGGATTGACTCTGTGGCCTCTGTACCACTTCACTATTGGTAGCAGAGAGAATTCAGAACCTTGCCCATCCCATCAAAGACCTTGTGGCTAAAGGAGTGAATACAGCCACTTCAGCTCCCTCACCCTATTCCTTTGTCGCTCCTCTTGCTTTCTTGCAGAAGGAAGGAAGGAAGGAAGGAAGGAAGGAAGGGGTATGATGGGAGACAGAGAAGGCTGAAGTGTGAAGATGTAGCTGTCACTTACCCCCTGCTGCCACCAAGTGTATCACAGCCCTTGAGGCAGCGGCAGGTCTGCTCATCCTCCCTAGCTATATTACTTCTGGCCCTGGGAGAGCTGAAGGTGAGGAGGTGTGTATCAAAGGATAAGCTGGGCTCTTGGGTACAACCCTTCCACAGGCTCCCAAGGGCCTTATTATAAACCAAACTTCTTTTTCATTTATTTCCAATGCTTCAAGGCTACTTCAAGGATGTTGATTGGAAGCTTGTGGCTGACAACCCCATTTTGCAATCCTAACTACACTTATTGGGAAGTAAATATATTTGCATAAACATGCTTAGGAAAGTATGATAAGTATGCCATGATGATTTTCTGGGGGCAGTACACAGGCTATGGATTTTCTCTTCTGCTACTATTGCTTTTATTTTGTTTTTGTTTTTTTACAAAGGTTTTGCTTTCTCAATGAAAAAAGGGTGTTTTTTATTTGGAAATATTTATATATGATTTCTATGATTTTATATTAATGATTTTTGTCATGTTAACACCATGGTTCATCCAAGGAACACAAAACAGTATCCATGTTCCCCAATGTACATTCATTGGAGTGTCAGAAAGCGATGATGTCTACCCTATTTACATAAGATCTACACATCCATGAGAACCCTGTGCCCCATTAATCTTGGGAAGAGGGACTGATTGTGAAATCACTAATTTCTTTATTTCTTCATCAGTTTCCACATAGCAACTTTTATCTCCTTGTTCCTCAGTGTATAGATCATGGGGTTCATCAGAGGGAAGACCATGGTGTGGAAAAAGGCCACCACCTTGTCAAAGGGATAGTCCTGGAAGGGATGGCAGTTGATGTAGATGGCTGGACCAAACATAATGCAGGCGATGATGATGTGGGTGATGCACGTAGAGGAGGCTTTGTTCTTCCCATGGCTTGAGCTTGTCCTCACCTTTATCAGCAGGGCCCCATAAGAGATGAGGAGGAGGATGAAACATGCAGCACTTACCAGGCCACTGCTAACAAACATGAAAAATTCTAATGTGTAAGTGTTGGTGCAAGCCAGCTTAATGAACTGGGTGACATCACAGAAATAGTTGTCTAGCTCATTGGGGCCACAGAATGGGAGAGGGATGATGAGAATGACCTGGATTATGGAGTGCAGGAATCCTCCAACCCATGAACATACCAGCATACCCCAGCAGACTACTTGGGTCACCATAGTAGCATAGCGCAGTGGCTGGCAGATGGCCACATACCGGTCAATGGCCATGGCAATGAGAAGGAACATCTCAGCTGCACCAAGAAAATGAATGAAAAAAATCTGAGTGATACATCCCAGGTATGATATAGTCCTGTGGCCAGAGAATATGTTAGCCATGAGCTTTGGTGGGGTGACACAGCTGTAGCAGATGTCCAAGAAGGCCAGGTTGGCTAAGAAGAAAAACATGGGGGATCCCAGATGGGGGTCCTTACAGATTGTCACAATGATGACAAAGTTTGCAGGTAGGATGATGATGTAGAAGAGCAGGAGAAGAACACAAAGGAACAGCTGCATCTCCCAGAGCTGTGACAACCCCTGGATAACAAACTCTTTCACTACAGTGTGATTCCCATTTTCCATCCTTGCAGATGTAGTCCTGAAAAACAATTATATTTGAATTGTTAAACAATAAATGATTGCAATCCCACTGTCCCCATTTATACACCTTATTATAAATGCAACCAATTGGTAGGCTGGCCAGGAGCAGATCAAACTAACTCACGGGTTCATGTTACATTTAGGTTCTGAGGCTTTTGCGCAGAGAAATGATGATTGCCTAAAAGCACTGTATGGGATAGATGTCTCAGTGATATGTGCTCCAGCTGGACTGGATGGCTATAATATGTTCAGAAAACTAAACCCAGGAGATGAGTCACATGGACTCCTGTGCAATTAGAACATGATGTCACTGATAGTGAAGAGGAGAAATTCAATTCAGTGTGCAGTTAAAGCCAAATTGACCACATTTGCACTTTCAGAAACAATAAACCACAATGCAACTATTGTTTGAAACTTGCACTTATCTGAATGGATTGAGCCTTCTGAAGTGCAAAACAGATTACCACTGAGTTATGGCCCATTTCCAAATCTAAGGCTAACAAGACTGAGATTCATTGCTGCTGCTGTTGCTGCTGCTGCTGCTGCTGCTGCTGCTTCTGGACCCTGTTCCTTCCTTCCTCCAACCACAGAGATTCTCAAGACCATGGTAGAATGATCAGATCTGACTGAAAACCTTTTGCTGCCTGAAATGAGGAATAAGATCTGGCTTCCTCAACCTCGGCCCTCCAGATGTTTTGAGACTACAATTCCCATCATGCCTAACCACTGGTCCTGCTAGCTAGGGATCATGGGAGTTGTAGGCCAAAAACATCTGGAGGGCCGAGGTTGAGGAAGCCTGAATAAGATGGTGCCCCCACCCCACAATACCACACTCAGCTGCTGACAAAACTGGCAGCTTAACATTGCTTTGATACCAGAGAATCCTCAACTACACATCAACTACAACCAGCTCAGGAGGCAAAGGGCAGACCATATGGAACACACAGTTCTGCCCTCCACATTTCCCACCCTCCAGCATTTGCCACCTGAGGCAGCTTCCTCAATTTGCATAAATGGTAGTGCTGGCCATACTTGCAGAGCTCAGGGACTAGGGATAGAAGGATTTGTCATTTTCAGTTTTTTGGTTTCTCATTTTTCCAATTTTAAATTCCACTCCCCACATTTCAACATCAGTTTGATATTTGTTTTAAAAAGAGCCCTAATCAAAATCAATCAGCATTTTAATACAAATTCCTTCTAATTTTTGCATTGAAAGTAATGGCTGTCCCCTTAAAGCAAGAGTAGGGAGCCACTAGTCCTCTAGATATTGCTGGACCACAACTGTCACCATCCCTGACCACTTGCCATGGTACCTGGAGCTGGTGAGAGTTGAACAACAGCTGGAGGGCTGCAGTTTAGCCAACTCTGCCATAAAGGCTTGAGGCGGCCAGAAAAAAGCAGCCACCATGCCATCCATCCTGATCCTCCACCAGACCCCTCCTCTGCGTTCTCTTTGCTTCCTTAGTAGTGATTAGCAAAGAAGATAAGAACAAAAGAAGGGTCTGCAGGATGAGGCCAGTGGCCCATCTAGTCCAGCATCTTCTTCTCAGTGTGGCCCACCAGATGCCAGCAAGCAGGACTACTGGTTGAAGCAAATGATCAATAGAGGAGCAAGGGAGGAAAACTAAAGCCATGCAAAAAGACAATGTAAAAAAGAGCAGAGATGAGACAAACATTTACCCTTTGATCCCTTTCAATTTGCAGACAGCCCTTCTGGCAGAAGAAATCTTCGTCATCCTCATACTTATATTGCCTATGGAAGAAGTGCATCCAAGGATATACTGAGCCCAGAAGAAACACCTTCCAGTGATCCCAGAGGACCTCATTAAAATGGTTGGCAATTTCTTTTATTTCAATGGTGCTTCAAGGATATTGATAATCAGCATGAGGTTTGACAACCCCATTTTCTAGTCACTTCCCCGTTTAATTGTTTATTTTTTTATTAAACCTCAACACAGAGTAAATAACAGCTCTCCTTTTTTGTACATGAATTAATTATATGATACATATATGGCTATGGACTATGGGTAGTAATAACACAGTTTTGTTAAATGATTATTTTTTATTTTTTAATATTTTTATTAATTTTCTCAGTAACAAACATCACAAAAAATAAACATCAAGAAAGGACTGTTAAGGGGGGAAAGAGAAAAATAGGAAAAATGTAAAAGGAAAAAAAATCTATTTACATATTCAATATCAAATCCAAATAAGTAAAAGTTGATTGATAATGGGTTAAACTGAAAAAATTGAAGGTTAGACCGTTAAGATAAACTATAGAATAAAAATTGAGAAAGATGGGAAGAACTTGCTGAAATAGTGAATTGAACTAGAATACAAAAAAAAAGGAGGTGTGAGGAGGTCGATGAAACAAGTAAAGGAAAGGTAAAGACATGGAATACTGGATGGGTGTTTTAGTTTCTTTTTTGTCTGTCTTTTTTGCTGTATTGTTGTATGGCTTTTATATGTTTTATATGTTTTGTTATTGTTCTTTTTCTTTTTTTATTGTTCTTTTTTCTTCCTTTTTCTGTAATTTTTAAACTTTTAATAAATATCATTAAAAAAAATATCAAATCCAAATATGGCAATGGGAGAGTATCCTGCTCCATTATACCTAATGGCAGCAGACTAGTTTAGTGACTGTGTAGAAACATGGGAATCTGCCTTGTACTGACTCAGACCTACAGGTCAATCTGCCTCAGTATTGTCCAAACTGACCTGCTCGGATCATAATGCAGTGTTGTTGGAAATAAAATTGTCTCTGCAGGGGTCTTACAGATGAGTAATAATAATAATAATAATAATAATAATAATAATTTTTTATTTATATCCCACCCTCCCCAGCCAAAGCCGGGCTTAGGGTGGCTAACAAGAATAAAATAATACAAGATTCTAAAATCATTTCATTATAAAATTAATTCAAATCAAATTGATGGCAACCATTGGGCTAGAGTTCTGTGAAGATTGCCAAAGGAGGGAGTCAGGCTGTGCCTTGGCCAAAGGCTTGGTGGAACAGCTCTGCCTTGCAGTCCCTGTGGAAAGATGTTAAGTCCCGCAGGGTCCTAGTCTCTTGTGGCAGAGCATTCCACCAGATCGGAGCCAGAGCCGAAAAAGCCCTGGCTCTGGTTGAGGCCAGCCTAACCTCTCTGTGGCCTGGGACCTCCAAGATGTTTTTGTTTGAAGATCTTAAGTTCCTCTGTGGGACATACCAGGAGAGGCGGTCTCGTAGGTACGAGGGTCCTAGGCCGTATAGGGCTTTAAAAGTTAAAACTAGCACCTTAAACCTGATCCTGTACTCCACTGGGAGCCAGTGCAGCTGGTATAGCACCGGGTAAATGTGATCTCACAGCGAGGACCCCGTAAGGAGTCTCGCTGCAGCATTCTGCAACTGCTGGAGTTTCTGGGTCAGTCTCAAGGGCAGCCCCACGTGGAGCGACTTACAATAATCCAGTCTGGAGGTGACCGTCACGTGGATCACAGTGGCTAGGTCAGGGCGAGAGAGGTAAGGAGCCAACTGCTTAGCTTGGCGGAGATGAAAAAATGCCGCCTTTGTTATAGCTTCAACCTGCGCCTCCATGAAAAGGGAGGTGTCGAAGATTACACCCAAACTCTTAACGGATGGTGCTGGCACTAATTGCGCCCCCGCAAGAGATGGGAGTTGCCCCCCCAATCCCATATTGTCCCGACCCAGCCAAAGGACCTCTGTCTTCGAAGGATTTAACTTCAACTGGCTCCCACGTAGCCATCCAGCCACAGCTTCCAAACATCTGATCAGTGTGTCTGGGGCCGAGTCAGGATGGCCATCCATCAACAGATAGAGTTGGGTGTCATCGGCATACTGATGGCAGCCCAACCCAAAACTCCAGACAAGCTGGGCATGGGGGCGCATAAAGATGTTGAAAAGCATCAGGGAGAGTATCGCACCCTGAGGTACTCCACACACCAGGGAGTGGTGCGATGACAGTTCCCCCCCAAGCGCCACCCTCTGTCCCCGACCAAAGATAAACAAGCGCAGCCATTGAAAGACTGTGCCCTGGATCCCCCGTCGGCAAGGCTGTGGTCCAGGAGCTTGTGATCGACCATGTCAAAGGCTGCTGACAGGTCTAGAAGAATCAGCAGCCCCGACCCGCCTCGATCCAGCTGCCTGCGGAGATCAAGAATGAACGATGATTTATTGAGCAATGAGCAGATGATTAGGAAGGCCCAAAAGACTCTAAAGGATTACTTTGAGACAAATATTAATTCTGAGGTGGAAATAAGAGTCGTTTGGGATGCAAGTAAGGCAGTAATGAGAGGATTCCTCATACATCAAAATTTGATCAAGAAAAGGATACAGAATGAGAAAAAAGACAATATTCTTTCTCAATTAAAAGATAAAGAGAAGAACTTGAGATCTAATCCGAAGAACCAGCAGATTCAAAAGGAAATTAAAGCACTACAGATCCAATACTCTCAGATTATAAATCAGGAAATAGAATGGGGGGGGGAAAATGATGAGACAGAGAAACTTCGAATTGGCAAATAAATGTGGAAAATTGCTGGCTTGGCAGTTAAAAAAGAGACAAAAACAAAGGACTATTACTAATATTGTATCAGAAGGAAAGTCTATGGAGAATCCTGCAGAGATAAGATGTTTTTAGAAATACTATAAACAACTGTATAAAAATGGAAAAGAAGATAATGGTAAAATTGAGCAATTTATCCAAGTACATGGATTGCCAAAAATTCCCGAAAATAAAAAGATCGTACTTAATGGATTGATCACAAGACAAGAGGTTGAGAATGCAATAAATCAGATGCAGCTTGGTAAAACACTAAGGCCAGATGGTTTGTCAGCAAAATACTATAAAGCTTTTAAAGACTGACTTATTCAGCCATTGATGGACGTATGCAATAAGATATTAAGAGGGGACAAAGCACCTGAAACCTGGAAGGAAGACTTTATAACCCTGATTCCAAAACCAGATCAAAATAGGTCCAATGTGAAAAATTATAGGCCGATCTCATTACTAAATGTGGATTACAATTTTTTTGCTAACATTATGGCCAACAGGTTGAAGAAGCTACTAACAGATTATATTCATAAGGACCAGGCAGGATTTCTACCTGGGAGATCTATGAAAGATAACATTAGGAATATAATCGATGTGTTAGAAAGATTAGAAGTTAAAAAAAACTCAAAAGCGATGTTAATGTTTATAGATGCTGAGAAGGCCTTTGATAATGTTTCATGGAGTTTTATGAAAAGGAATTTAGAAAGTATTGAGGCTGGACAATAATTTTTAAATGGTATTAATGTGATCTATTTTGAGCAAAAAGCTAAACTCATATTTAATAATGTGGTTTCAGAAGAAATTAGAATTGAGAAAGGAACCAGGCAAGGGTGCCCACTTTCCCCTCTGCTTTTTATTTCAGTCCTGGAGGTTTTGCTAAACATGCTAAGGAAAGAGGAAGAGGTTAAAGGTATAACAGTAGGATCCAAACAATATGAGTTAAAAGCCTTTGCTGACAATTTGATATTAACATTACAAGACCCAGATTCCAGTGCAGTGAAAGCACTAGAGTTGATTCAAGAGTTCAGGCAAGTAGCAGGATTTAAGTTAAACAAGAGCAAAACCAAAGTGCTGGGGGGGGGGGGATTAGATAATGAGGTGAGAAAAATCCTTCAGGAAAAGACAGGCCTTGTTTTTGTGAAAAAAGTAAAGTACCTGGGTGTGAATTTATTGGTGAAAAACTTGAATTTATATAATGACAATTATGAGAAATTATGGAAGGAAAGAAAGAGAGATCTTGAGATTTGGTCAAATTTAAAATTGTCATTAATGGGCCGAACGAATATAGGTGGTTAAAGATGTTGTTTTTATTCCAAGCTTTACCAATTACTGATAATGTCAGATGTTTTAAAGAATGGCAGAAAGCATTGTCTAAATTTATCTGGCGGGGGGGGGGCGGGACCCAGAATTAAATATAAAATATTAACAGATGCAAAAGAGAGGGGGGGATTTTCCCTGCCAGATCTGAAAATATATTTCAAGGCAGCAGCTTTCTGCTGGATTAAGGAATAGATTCAAATAGATAATGCTGATGTGTTAGACTTGGAAGGATTCGACAGTGTATTTGGTTGGCATGCATATTTATGGTATGACAAGATATCGGCCCATAAAGGTTTTAAAAATCATGTAATTAGAAAATCTCTATATAATGTATGGATAAGATATAAAGATCTCTTGGGAAGGAAAACACCCAGATAGCTTTCACCAATGGAAGCTAAGGCTCAGAAAAAGTTGAATATGGAGAGTAATTGGTTGAAATATGATGTTTTACTAGTGGAAGAAAATGAAGAATTTAAACTAAGACCATTTGACCAAATCAAAGGCAAATTAAATGGATGGTTACAATATTATCAGATTAATGAATTATTTAAATTGGATAGGAAAAACCGTTTTGCAACAGAAAAATCCAAATTGGAAATGGAATTGTTAGATACGAATGTTAAAAATCTCTTTAAAATGTATTTGTTGTTAGAATGGCATACAAAGGATGAACAAGTTAAATCTGTGATGATTGATTGGGCAAGAGATGTTGGACACAATATAATGTTGAAAGATTCGGAAAGGCTGTGGAAGAAAGGGGTTCGGAAAGGCTGTGGAAGAAAGGGGTTAAGTTTACTGCATGTACGGTATTAAACGAAAACATTATGAAAATGGTTTATAGATGGAACTTAACCCCGGTGAAATTAGCAAAGATGTATCATACAAAGGATAATTTGTGTTGGAAATGTAAAGAAAAAGAAGGTACTTTCTACCATATGTCGTGGACATCTCCCAAGGTGAAAGACCTCTGGGAGAAGATTTATAATGAGTTGGAAAAAATGTTGAAGAATACATTTATTAAAAAACCAGAAGCCTTTCTACTTGGAATAATAGGACTAGAATTGACCAAAAAAGATTTTAGAATGTTTTTGTATGCCACTACAGCGGCAAGAATTTTATTTGCCCAAAACTGGAAATCGCAAGAGATGCCAACAATAGAAGAATGGCAGATGAAGATGTTGGACTTTTTGGAGCTGGCCGACCTGACTGGAAGAATCCGCAACCAGAAAGAAGAGACCCAAAAGGATTGGAAGAATTTTAAAGAATACCTAGCTAAATACTGTAATATAAGATAAAGAGAAATCTCTTGGAAGTAAAAAATTAGGCCTAGCGTTACAATAAGTTTATGTAGTTAAAAATACAAATGATTGGAATATTAATAATGGAGAAGAAGTTAGTAAATGAAAGAAGTTAATATTATTAGAAATATGAATTTGGAGAACTGCTAATTAGGTGATAAAATGAAATTCAGTTAGAGGGGATTCGAGGAAGTCATCAATGTAATGCAATCCGGATTTGGAAATTAAAATTCTTTTCTATATGTTTTTCTGTATTTTTGTGTATTGTAATGTTTTTCTTTTGTCTTTTTTTCTTTTTCTTTTGTACATGACTAATGTGAAAATTAATTTAAAAAATTGGGGGGGGGGGAGTCCACACTGATTGTCAGTGGCTCTCCAGGACTTCCCTACACTTCCTGGCAAACCTGGGAGTGTCTACATGCTCTTTCACTGAGCTATGACCCCCCTCTCTTGCAAGACAGCTTTGATCTACAGAGAAGGGAAATGACTGGTTGTATGGAAAGAAGGGGTTGCTAAGATCCAAGATGTAACTGAACGACTGCAAGGAATCATAAAACCCACTGACAAATACCCCTTCCTCTTGGTTCATGTGGGAACCAATGACACTGCAAGCAATAGCCTCCAGAAGATCAAAAGAGACTACGAGGCTCTGGGCAGGAAATTGAAGCAATTAAATGCACAAATTGTCATCTCATCTGTCCTCCCAGTTGAACGACGTGGCCCAGGGAGAGAGGGAAAAATAGTGGAAGTGAACAGCTGGCTTTGCAAATGGTGTAAACAGGAACGGTTTGGATTCTTAGATCACGGACTGCAGTTTCTTGAAGATGGACTTCTGGCAAGCGATGGGCTGCACCTCACAACGGTTGGGAGAAATGTTTTTGCCAAAAATCTCAGAAACCTCATCAGGAGGGCTTTAAACTGACTAATGTGGGGGAGGGAGACAGTGCTCCTGAAGGTAGGAGTCTATCAATTGATGAAGATGATCATCCAAATGTCATAGACCAAATGGAGCAAACAGCACGCAGACCTAGTGGTGGGAGGAAAAAATCCTTAAATAAGAGACACGGGGGAATGATTAATGGACTTCAGTGTCTGTACACTAATGCGCAAAGCATGGGAAATAAACAAGATGAGCTTGAGCTCTTGGTACAGCAAACTAAATATGACATAATAGGCATCACTGAAACCTGGTGGGATAAGTCCCACAATTGGAATGTAATAATGGAGGGATACAATCTATTTCAGAGAAACAGACCAGACAAAAAAGGAGGAGGAGGAGTGGCGTTATATGTCAGGAATGTGTATACCTGTGAAGAGATCCAAGATTTAGAACCTCAAAGCCAAAGTGAGAGCATTTGGGTCAAAATTAAGGGAGAGAAGAATAACAGTGACCTCATTGTGGGAGTTTACTATAGATCCCCAAGCCAAACAGAGGACATAAATGATGCCTTCCTGGAACAGATGGCCAAGCATGCAAAAGGAAGGGAGATAGTAGTAATGGGGGACTTCAATTACCCGGATATTTGTTGGATGTCAAACTCAGCCAAGAGCATAAGGTCAAACAGATTCCTCACTGGCCTTGCAGACAACTTCATTGTCCAGAAAGTGGGAGAAGCAACAAGAGGAACAGCCATTTTAGATCTGGTCCTAACCAATGTTGATGACCTGGTTAGTGGGGTAGAAGTGGATGGATCATTAGGCGCGAGTGATCATGCTCTTCTGAAGTTTACTATACAGCGGAAAGGAGCAGCCAAGCATACTAGGACTCAATTTCTTGACTTTAAGAAAGCCGACTTCATAAAACTTAGGGAAGTGCTGGGTGAGATCCCATGGACAGTAATACTAAAAGGAAAAGGAGTTCATGATGGCAGGGAGTTTGTTAAGAGGGAGATAGTAAAAGCACAACGTCAGGCATTACCAATGAGATGGAAACATGGAAGGTACCTAAAGAAGCCAGGGTGGCTATCTAAAGAACTTTTAACTGAGTTAAGATTAAAAAAGGATGTGTACAAAAAATGGAAAAGGGGGGAAACCACCAAAGAGGAATTCAAACAAATAGCCAGCACGTGTAGACACAAAGTCAGAAAAGCTAAAGCACAGAATGAACTCAGGCTTGCTAGAGAGGTTGAAAGCAACAAAAAGGTTTTTATGGGTATGTTCGTAGCAAAAGGAAGAACAAAGAAACAGTGGGGTCACTCAGAGGAGAAGATGGCGAAATGCAAACAGGGGACACAGAAAGGGCTGAACTCCTCAATGCCTTCTTTGCCTCAGTCTTCTCCAACAAAGAAAACAATGCCCGACCTGAAGAATTTGAAGCAAATGATTCAGCAAAGGAAACACAGCCCAGAATAACTAAGGAGATAGTACAAGAATACTTGGCTAGTTTAGATGTATTCAAGTCTCCAGGGCCAGATGAACTGCATCCAAGAGTATTAAAAGAACTGGCAGATGTGATCTCAGAACCACTGGCAGTCATCTTTGAGAATTCCTGGAGAACAGGCGAAGTCCCGGCAGATTGGAGGAGGGCAAATGTTGTCCCTATTTTCAAAAAAGGGGAAAGAGAGGACCCAAATAATTACCGCCCAGTCCGTCTGACATCAATACCAGGGAAGATTCTGGAGCAGATAATTAAGCAAACAGTCTGTGAGCACCTAGAAAGGAATGCTGTGATCACCAATAGTCAGCATGGATTTCTGAAAAATAAGTCATGTCAGACTAACCTGATCTCGTTTTTTGACAGAATTACAAGCCTGGTAGATGAAGGGAACGCAGTGGATGTAGCCTACCTTGATTTCAGCAAGGCATTTGACAAGGTGCCCCATGATATTCTTGTAAAGAAGCTGGTAAAATGCGGTCTTGACTATGCTACCACTCAGTGGATTTGTAACTGGCTGACTGACCGAACGCAAAGGGTGCTCATCAATGGTTCCTCTTCATCCTGGAGAAGAGTGACTAGTGGGGTGCCACAGGGTTCTGTCTTGGGCCCGGTCTTATTCAACATCTTTATCAACGACTTAGATGATGGACTCAAGGGCATCCTGATCAAATTTGCAGATGACACCAAACTGGGAGGGGTGGCTAACACCCCAGAGGACAGGATCACACTTCAAAACGACCTTGACAGATTAGAGAACTGGGCCAAAACAAACAAGATGAATTTTAACAGGGAGAAATGTAAAGTATTGCACTTGGGCAAAAAAATGAGAGGCACAAATACAAGATGGGGGACACCTGGCTTGAGAGCAGTACATGTGAAAAGGATCTAGGAGTCTTGGTTGACCACAAACTTGACATGAGCCAACAGTGTGACGCGTCAGCTAAAACAGCCAATGCAATTCTGGGCCTCATCAATAGCAGTATAGCATCTAGATCAAGGGAAGTAATAGTGCCACTGTATTCTGCTCTGGTCAGACCTCACCTGGAGTACTGTGTCCAGTTCTGGGCACCACAGTTCAAGAAGGACACTGACAAACTGGAACGTGTCCAGAGGAGGGCAACCAAATGGTCAAAGGCCTGGAAACGATGCCTTATGAGGAACGGCTAAGGGAGCTGGGCATGTTTAGCCTGGAGAAGAGGAGGTTAAAGGGTGATATGATAGCCATGTTCAAATATATAAAAGGATGTCACATGGAGGAGGGAGAAAGGTTGTTTTCTGCTGCTCCAGAGAAGCGGACATGGAGCAATGGATCCAAACTACAAGAAAGAAGATTCCACCTAAACATTAGGAAGAACTTCCTGACAGTAAGAGCTGTTCGACAGTGGAATTTGCTGCCAAGGAGTGTGGTGGAGTCTCCTTCTTTGGAGGTCTTTAAGCAGAGGCTTGACAACCAAATGTCAGGAGTGCTCTGATGGTGTTTCCTGCTTGGCAGGGGGTTGGACTCGATGGCCCTTGTGGTCTCTTCCAACTCTATGATTCTATGATTCTATGATGATTTTCTGGGGGCAGTACACAGGAAAAGGATTTGCTCCTTTTCTGCACTCCCCAAAGAAGACAATTACAGTGGTGCCTCGTAAGACGAAATTAATTCGTTCCGTGAATTTTTTTGTCTAGCGAATTTTTTGTCTTGCGAAGCACGAAATCACATAGGAATGCCTTGAAATTCAATTAATGTGTTCCTTTGGTCAAAAAAAGTCCAAACAAAGCCAAATTTGGTACAACAAGAGTTTATTAAGTGCTCTTTAAAGTCACACATACTGTAAAGAGCATTTCAAAAATTGAAGGAACAATAAATTAAGTTTCTAAACATGACAGAAAAACATTTAAAAATCAACAAAGTGTACATACATTTTCTAAGACTCTGGGGGACAACTCGAAGAAGGTTCCTCTTCCACTCTTTGCTTCTTGCTGAAGAACCCCCTCCTCAACTGTTCACCCAGCCACCCACCACACAGAAATTCAAATCCAGAATTTTTTTAAAAAAACAGCAGAGTGGCCCAATGGTCACAGAAAATCATAAAAATGCAGAAAAAAACCACACAAGCTTCCAGATTCTTGCAAACCCCTCCTCAACTGTTCCCCCAGCCACCCACCACACAGAAATTCAAACCCAGAATTTTTTTTAAAAAAACAGCAGAGTGGCCCAATGGTCACAAAAAATCATAAAAATGCAGAAAAAAACCACACAAGTTTCCAGATTCTTGCAAACCCCTCCCCAACACCAAGTCCTTGAATTCCAAACACCCCAACCCAAAATCCAAAAGCCCCCCAAAAAGTTTTAAAAGTTTAACTTACCAAATGGCTGCAAAAGAAGTTTTGGAAAAGCTTCAAAAATCGCCAAAGTCTTCAAAAACCTCAAAAAAGGCTACCACACCGCGTGCTATGAGTTGCTCCTCGAAGTCAAGTCGCAACTGCACCTCTTCAAGAAATGCACCTTGGGTTTTAACGGTTTTACGAAAAAGGAAACAAACTTGCAAGACGTTTTCGTCTTGCGAAGCAAGCCCATAGGGAAATTCGTCTTGCGAAGCAGCTCAAAAACCGCAAAACCCTTTCGTCTAGTGAGTTTTTCGTCTTGCGAGGCATTCGTCTTGCGGGGCACCACTGTATTTTAGAACAATGACCACAACACGAAGACCTTTATTGCTTTTTGTTTTGATTTTTATAAAGGTTTTGTTTCCTCAGTGGAAAAAAAAAAGTGGGGTCTTTTTTATTTGGCATTATTTATTTGTTTTATTTTATGTTAATACCATGGTTCCTCCAAGGAACACAAAACAGTATCCATGGTCACCTGTTCCCCTATATTCATTCATTGGAGTGTCAGAAAAGGGTGCTGTCTAGCCTGTGCCCCATGAATCTTGGGAAGAGGGACTGATGTGAAATCACTAATTTTTATATTTCTTCAACAGTCTCCACATAGCAACTTTTATCTCCTTATTTCTCAGTGTGTAGATCATGGGATTCATCAGAGGGAAGACCACGGTGTGGAAAAAGGCTACCACTTTGTCGAAGGGAAAGTCCTGGAAGGGACGGCAGTAGATGTAGATGGCTGGACCAAACATAATGCAGGCGATGATGATGTGGGTGATGCACGTAGAGGAGGCTTTGTTCTTCCCATGGCTTGAGCTTGTCCTCACCTTTATTAGCAGGGCCCCATAAGAGATGAGGAGGAGGATGAAACACGCAGTGCTTACAAGGCCACTGCTAACAAACATGACAAATTCTAATGTGTAAGTGTTGGTGCAAGCCAGTTTAATAATCTGGGTGACATCACAGAAGAAGTTGTCAAGCTCATTGGGGCCACAGAATGGGAGAGGGATGATGAGAATGACCTGGATTATGGAGTGCAGGAATCCTCCAACCCATGAACATACCGACATACCCCAGCAGACTACTTGGGTCACCATAGTAGCATAGCGCAGTGGCTGGCAGATGGCCACATACCGGTCAATGGCCATGGCAATGAGAAGGAACATCTCAGCTGCACCAAGAAAATGAATGAAAAAAATCTGAGTGATACATCCCAGGTATGATATAGTCCTGCGACCAGAGAATATGTTAGCCATGAGCTTTGGTGGGGTGACACAGCTGTAGCAGATGTCCAAGAAGGCCAAGTTGGCTAAGAAGAAAAACATGGGGGATCCCAGATGGGGGTCCTTACAGATTGTCACAATGATGACAAAGTTTGCAGGTAGGATGATGATGTAGAAGAGCAGGAGAAGAACACAAAGGAACAGCTGCATCTCCCAGAGCTGTGACAACCCCTGGATAACAAACTCTTTCACTACAGTGTGATTCCCATTTTCCATCCTTGCAGATGTAGTCCTGCAAAACAATTATATTCGGATTGTTAAACAATATATGATTGCAATACCCCTGCTCCTTTCAAAATCGGGCTCCGGCGGCACGGCGGCAGCAGGAGGCCCCATTAGCTAAAGTGGTGCTTCAGGTTTAGAACAGTTTCAGGTTAAGAACGTACCTCCGGAACGAATTAAGTACTTAACCTGAGGTACCACTGTACATTATTTACACAATGAGTCCTATCTGAATGGCTGATTCTGCTTCCCTCCTGGAGCCTGATTGGTCTTTTCCTGCAGGCCAATCAATTGTTGCATTCTAGGATCCTACTTGCCTATTGTTCTAGGATCCAAGCTTAGTACATAATAATAATAATAATAATAATAATAATAATAATAATAATAATAATATCTTTATTGTCATTGCCCCCTTCGGGGACAACGAAATTACTTGACTGCTCCATAAAAACACTAATTAATCAATACAGTATAATACAGCAAGGGAGATTAGATGACTTTCAAAGTCCGGGCTTCCCATTCAGGGCCGAGATCGCTCTGGAGAAGAAGCTGTTCTTAAGACGGCTCGTTCTTGTCTTCATCGTCCTGTATCTCCATCCCGACGGCAAGAGCTCGAAGAGACAGTGACCAGGATGCGATGGATCTTTTACTATGTCCAGTGCCTTCCTATGGCACCTTGTGGCATAAATCTGCTCTAAGGTGGAGAGTGGGCAGCCAACAATGCTCTCTGCTGCCTTAACAACCCTGCACAACCCCATCCTGTCCTGGGTAGTACAGCTTCCGTACCACACACATAAGCCATAAGTGAGCACGCTCTCAATGGCACAGTGATAGAAGGCAAGCAGCAGTTTCTGCGGAAGATGGTTTTTCCTTAGTATTCTCAAAAGTACAGTCTCTGCTGCACCTTCTTCACAAGCCCCCTTGTGTTGACACTCCAGGACAGATCCTCTTGTAATTCAATGCCCAAAAATCTGAACGTTGTTACCCTCTCCACACAGACCCCATCAATCAAAAGTGGCTGGACGTTGCTCTTCTGTCTCCTGAAGTCCACCACAAGCTCCTTTGTCTTCCTTGTATTTATGAGCAAGTTGTTAGCTCTGCACCACTCTATCAGCCGCTCCACCTCATCTCTATAATCCGTTTCACCCTCCCTTTCAGAGATGAGCCCAATCACGGTTGTGTCATCTGCAAATTTGACAACCCTATTACTAGGGTGAGTAGCGACACAATCGTACGTGTAGAGAATATAAAGGAGCGGACTGAGTACGCATCCCTGTGGTGTTCCTATGTTAGTCTTGAGCATATTAGAGGTATAGGGGCCCAACCGAACCCTCTGGGGGCGGTCTGACAAAAAGTCCAATATCCACCCACAAAGTGATAACGGAAGCCCCAGATCTTCCAGTTTAGACATCAGACGTTGTGGTAGAATGGTATTAAATGCCGAGCTGAAATCTAAAAAAAGCAGTCTGGCATAACCCCCCCGCTGCTCCAAATGTGCAAGGACGGCATGGAGGGCAATCGCCACAGCGTCCTCTGTCGATCTTTTCATTTTATAAGCAAATTGGAATGTGTCCAGTCCCTCTGGTAGGCAGGCAATGACATAATTTCGTACCAGCTTTTCAAAGCACTTCATGATTATAGGTGTGAGTACTACTGGACGAAAATCATTCAGATCTTCCGGGTTAGATTTTTTTTGCTATTGGAACGATAATAGAGGACTTTAGGCAGGATGGAACAATAGCCTGGGCTAGGGATCGATTTAAAATCCCAGTGAAAACTCCTGCTAGTTGATCTGCACAGTCTCTCAATACCCTTCCAGCTACCCCATCTGGCCCTGTGGCCTTCCTTGGGTTGATTCCCTTCAACACCTTCCTCATCTCTTCTTTTTCCACAGAGACTACTGCATTCCTTTGTACTGATGATGGTAATGGTGGTGATGATGGCAAAGCCTTCACAGGGAGTGGTGGTGGTGTTGGTAAAGCCTCAGCAGGTGTTGCTGCAGATGTTACTTCAAAACGGGCAAAAAAGGCATAACACAGAGCCAGTGTTTTGTAGTGATTAGAGTGTGGGATTAGTACCTGTGAGACATTCTGAAAAACTTTCTGACACTAAGAGCTGTTTAGCAGTGGAACAGATTCCCACAAGAGGTGGTGGACTCTCCTTCCTTATGGTTTTTTAAACAGAGGTTGAATGGCCTTCCAATTCTAAGATTCTGGAAACTAAATGATAGCTAGTGCAGTCAGGCCAGGATCAGTGTTACATGATCAAATCGTCTTCCCCAGTGAACAACCTGACTGTTGAATTCTCCACCAGTTAAAGCTTCCTAACCTTATCCAGTGGCAACTCCACATATAGTAGTAATCTAATTTAGAGGGTACCAGAGCATAGACAACAGAAGTTAGGCTATCCCTGTCCACAGGGTCACCAGCTGAAGATGATGGAAGGCACTCTGCATCACTGAAGCCATCTGAGCCTCAAACAACAGCAATGAATCCTGATGTACTTCCCTCACAGGGTAGTGAGAGCTAAATGAGGTGGGGGAGAACCATGTATGCCTTCTTGAGCTCCTTGGATAGAAGGTAGAACATAAATGCAAAGAAACAAAACAATCCTTTCCTTGTTCTCCTCTATTCCCAAGTTTGATAACACCTCTGTCAATTATATGCATGTTTTGCATTTATCTAGAAATAGGAATCAGGGACACATACAGCACTGATGCAAGAGTACAATATTGATACAAGCAAATGTATCATACATACATGTCTGTGTTTGTTTTTGCCTTCTGATGTCACTATTCATTTTTTCATACTTCATTTTCTGTTCACAATCGGCCAAATTTACACAAGGAATATTGTCATGATGATAGGAAAAGTATTTCCTTTGCAATTCAGGTAGAGATGGGTCAATCTATCAGTTTCAGGTTCTCTCAGTTTCTCATCTTTCCAATCTTAAATTCTCTATATTTACACATCACTCCGTGGTTTTTTAAAAAAGAAAACCACATAAATATTTATCATCATTTTATTGCAAATTTCTCCTAATATGCATATTTTTGTATGCAATTTTGCAAAATATACACAGATTTCTACAAAAGAATTTCCTTTGATCTAATCAATTTCGTTAAATATTATTTACTCTTATGTGCATTTTAATGCACATTTTGCTGTATTATAAGCTATTCTGTACATATTACTTAGGTGTAGGACTAGGATGGTATTCACCTCTAGTCCTATTCAGTGCAGACATGTTGACATTATTGGACATGGCAATCTTTTATTCATTAATTTCAATGGGTCAACACTGGGTAGGACTTAGGTGACTATAATTCCTACACTACAAAATTCAAACAGGTGCGAATTTCAAAGGTTGTCTTTTCTTTGGTTTGCATATTGTTCAGAAAACTAAACCCAGGAGATGAGTTACATGGAGTCCTCTGTGATCTGAACATGATGTCACTGATAGTGAAGAGGAGAAATTCAATTCAGTGTGCAGTTAAAGCCAAATTGACCACATTTGCACTTTCAGAAACAATAAACCACAGTACAACTATTGTTTGAAACTTGCACTTATCTGAATGGATTGAGCCTGGGACCTTCTGAAGTGCAAAGATTACCACTATGGCTCATTTCCCAAATCTAAGGCTAACAAGACAAAGATCCAGTGCTGTTGCTGCTGATGGTGGACCCTACACCTTCCTCCCTCCAACCACAGAGATTCTCAAGACAACGAGCAGATCCGGCAGAACCCTTTTGCTGCCTGAAGAGATGAATTAGATCAGGCTTCCTCAACCTCGGCCCTCCATATGTTTTGAGACTACAATTCCCATCATGCCTTACCACTGGTCCTGCTAGCTAGGGATCATGGGAGTTGTAGGCCAAAAATATCTGGAGGGCCGAGATTGAGGAAGCCTGAATAAGATGGTGCCCCCACCCCACAATACCACACTCAGCTGCTGACAAAACTGGCAGCTTAACATTGCTTTGATACCAGAGAATCCTCAACTACACATCAACTACAACCAGCTCAGGAGGCAAAGGGCAGACCATATGGAACACACAGTTCTGCCCTCCACATTTCCCACCCTCCAGCATTTGCCACCTGAGGCAGCTTCTTCAATTTGTCTAAATGGTAGTGCTGGCCATACTTGCAGAGCTCAGGGACTAGGGAAAGAAGAATTTGTCATTTTCAGTTTCTTGGTTTCTCATTTTTCCTATCTTAAATTCAGTTTCCCACATTTCAACATCAGTTTGATATTTGTTTAGAAAAAGAGTCCTAATCAAAATCAATCAGCATTTTAATACAAATTCCTTCTAATTTTTGCATTGAAAGTAATGGCTGTCCCCTTAAAGCAAGAGTAGGGAGCCACTAGTCCTCTAGATATTGCTGGACCACAACTGTCACCATCCCTGATCACTTGCCATGGTACCTGGAGCTGGTGAGAGTTGAACAACAGCTGGAGGGCTGCAGTTTAGCCAACTCTGCCATAAAGGCTTGAGGCAGCCAGAAAAAAGCAGCCACCATGCCACCCATCCTGATCCTCCACCAGATCCCTCCTCTGTGTTCTCTTTGCTTCCTTAGTAGTGATTAGCAAAGAAGATAAGAACAAAAGAAGGGTCTGCAGGATGAGGCCAGTGGCCCATCTAGTCCAGCATCTTCTTCTCAGTGTGGCCCACCAGATGCCAGCAAGCAGGACAACTGGTTGAACCAAATGATCAGTAGAGGAGCAAGGGAGGAAAACTAAAGCCATGCAAAAAGACAATGTAAAAAAAAGCAAAGATGAGACAAACATTTACCCTTTGTTGTCCTTCAATTTGCAGACAGCCCTTCTGGCAGAAGAAATCTTCCTCATCCCCATAGTTATATTGCTTATTGAAGAAGTGCATCCAAGGATATACTGAGCCCAGAAGAAACACCTTCCAGTGATCCCAGAGGACCTCATTATAAAAGTTAGCAATAGCCAATTTCTTTTATTTCAGTGGTGCTTCAAGGATATTGATGGTCCCATTTTGACAATCCCATTTTCTAGTCAGTTCCCCATTTAATTGTCTTATTTATTAAACCTCAGCACACAATGTAAATAATAGCTCTCTTTGTTTGTACACGAACTAATTATATGATACATATATGGCTATGGGCTGTGGGTAGCAATAACACAGTTTCATTAAATGAATGAAATGTATGCTAGCCTTCCCCAACCTAGTGTCTTCCAGATGATGACAACTCTCATCAGCCCAAACTAGCACATGATGGAATACTCAGAAATGTATTAAACTTCAGAGACTTCCCTATGGCTTGAGTAAATTAATGATTTCAGTGTAGAGTGATAATAGCATAGATTTCAGTGTAGCGTGATAATCATATCAGGGCTTTTATTCAGCTGGAACTCGTCGGAACTCAGTTTCAGCAGCTCTCGGGCACCATTGTCATAAGACAACAATGGAGGTGTTCAGGGTGAATTCCAGCATCTCTTTTTCTAGAAAAATAGCAGTGATCATGATAATGATTTCCTATAAACCATCCACCATACTAGCAAAAGAACAGGGTGGGTCATAAAATCATATATCAGAGGAGTCAAAGCATCTCACATTTTATCAGTTCATGGCTGTTTAGATAATTACTTTGGAGACCTTCCAGTTAACACACTGTGTACATCTTAGCTGCTGTGAATGTCTTTATAGGGAAGAATGCAGGGAATCACATGTCTACCTTCCCACCAGAAATTGTTTCCCTGCTTCTCAGCTTCCTCATGGCTGACTTCACATCTTTATTTCTCAGAGTGTAGATCAACGGATTCAGCATGGGGGTGATGATATTGTAAAGGACAGAGACCAGCTTATCTACTGAGAAAGTAGAGAAAGGCCTGGCATAGATAAAGATGCAGGGACCAAAGAACAATGTCACCACTGTTAGATGGGAGGCACAGACATTGAGTGCTTTGCGACGTCCCTCAGGGGAGCGGATCCTCACCAGAATAGTGGCATAGGAGGTCACCAGGATGACAAAGCAGCTGCTTGAGATGAGACCACTGTTGGAGACCATGAGGAGTTCAATAACATAGGTGTCAGTGCACGCCAGCTTGATGACAGGTGGGACATCACAGAAGAAGTTGTCCACTTGGTTAGGTCCACAGAAGGGCAGTCTCATAGTAAGGATGGTCTGGACTGTAGAGTGGATGAAGCCTCCGGTCCAAGAAGCTGCCACCAACCAGCTGCAGAGTTGCCTGTTCATGATATTGGGATAGTGCAGAGGCTTGCAGATGGCCACGTACCTGTCATAGGCCATGATGGTGAGGAGGAACATCTCGGCAGCACCCACAAAATGGAGGAAAAAGAGTTGAGCCATGCAGGCATCAAAGGAGATGCTCCTTTTCTCGACCAAGAAGTCCATCAACATCTTAGGGGCTGTGACAGTGGAGTAGCAAAGATCCAGGAAGGAGAGGTTACCCAGCAGGAAGTACATGGGTGTGCTCAGCCGGGGGTCAGAGGTCACTGTAAGCATTATGAGGGTGTTTCCTGCTAGGGTGGCTGTGTAGACCAGGAGGAAGACCACAAAGAGGGCGGCTTGGGACTGCCATGATGGGGAAAGGGCTGCCAAGAGGAATTCATTGACCCGAGTGTAGTTTCCTTCCAGGTTCTCCATTTTTCCTATGAAAGCAAGGAGAGAGATTTATTTACTTATTTATAAATTGCTAGCAGAGTAGATTACTGTCTCACTAACAGGGAGGCCTTTTAATTAATCAAAAACTTCAATATCGATAACATGATCATTTGCCTCTAATCATCTCCACTATTGGCCAAAATTCAATTCAGCGCTCTCACATAGAACAAGGAAAAATTGATAAAGCTAATGTTCCAGCATTGTGTAGGAAAAAATGGACACCTGAGCTGGCTACTATAGTTGAGACCGGATTGAATTCGCAAACTGCAATTAATTTAAGATCAACTATAATCAATGACCTATCAACAGATTCCTCCCTGGTGGTTTACGATAATCTCATTGAGTTCTTGCAGGATGTGGTCTCTGTTAACACAAACCCAGCCAGCAAGCCCCATATAGCTAAAGGGTTCAGACGGTTCGACCAAGAGTGCTGCACGAAGAAGAAAGCCTTAAGGAACTCTTATTTGGCCTATAGAAATGCTGGCCTAAACCATTTACCCCCAACTTATTTCAAAATTTAAAAAGAGTACAAAGCCCTTTTGGCTTCGAACAAAAGGCAGTCTGAACAAGACTCCTGGTCTCTCTTACTGAATGCCTTGCTAAACAATGAAACAAAACTCTTCTGGAAACTGGTCTCTGGCTTCCTGAGCAATAGCAATCCAGCCCCTAGCTGTGCCATTCCAGCTCAGGTATGGGAGAACCATTTTAGAAATATATTCATGGACAATTCAAATCTCCCCTCCAGTTTTTATGATGAAGATTCGGCAGAACTGTCACTGCTCCCACAATGGAGCCCAGTTACAGTGGAAGAAGTCTACACATTAATTGGGAACCTGAAGAGTGGTAAGGCCCCGGGAAATGACTTTATCTTAGCTGAATTGATCATATCCGATCAGCAATGGGTGGGCTCCTCTTCTGGCAGCACTTTTACTTTAGTAAATAACTTGGGCAAAGTACCATCTAGCTGTAAACGTGCAATAGTAGTCCCAACCATTAAGAAAGGCCAGCCAAATGTGCCTTCTAATTATAGGCCAATCAGTCTGCTTTCAATTTTGGAAAGCTGTAGCCCCACTTTCTCTGTAACAAATTGACAACTTTTCTAAATGACTATACTATACTATCTGAAACTCAGGCAGCTTTCCGTGAGAACCACTCAACATCAGACCACTGTCTAATGCTGTCCCTCCTAGCCGAGAAGTACACCAGACCTCCACAGGGAATACTCTTTGTGACCTTTATGGACCTGAAATCTGCCTTTGACTCCATCCTCAGATTCCAACTATGGTCCAAATTACAGCTAGTACTAAGGATAAATGCCTCCTACATCTTATTAAAGCCCTGTACTGTGGAAGCAATTTGCAGGTTAGGTGCAGGTTGCAGGGCCAGCTCTCTGACTGTATTGAGATGGCCAGGGGAGTGAGAAAGGGATGCATTTTGGCCCCTACTTTGTTCAGTTTGTTTTTGATAACTTAGAGGCAAGCTTAATGGACTCTGATGGCCATCTTCCAAAAATGGGGATGAGAAAGACCCCTCTCTTGCTGTATGCGGATGACATGGCCATCCTCTCCTGAACCAGACCTGGGCTGAACTACCAACTAAGGAAATTCTCAGACTACTGCTCTGGTAATGGGTTATCCATCAATTATGAAAAATCAAAAGTCCTGGTGTTTGAGAAGAGATTCTCCCTGAGTAAATGGGTACCAGAGCAGACCAAATTCGCCATTAAGGCATTTAATGCAAAATCTGTCTCTCAACTCCTCTACGCCTCAAACGTCCGGTTCAATGCTCATTCTCCAGGTTTGATGGCTTCCAGGCAAAGTTTCTCTGGTAAAATGTGTTCCAAATGCAATCCTATTTTTAGAAACAGGTGAATGTCCTCTATCAACTAAAGCATGGTGGGCTGCCCTGAGATACTGGCTCAAGATCTCAGTCTTTGGCCTAGGGAAGGGCTTACTTCCATACCTAAACAACGAGGAGTTTACCAGCTCATGGATGAAAATTATGGTTAGAAAAACCACTTTAATTGGTATGCCACCTTCTCTCCTGTACCATCTGGGCTATGATACTGCCCTTGAATCTCTGAGGCAAAGGCATATCACATAGTGATCTCCAATCTCAATCTCATGTTATCTGTGGCCCATTAGCAGTAGGAATTTACTATGGGTTCAATTTTCAGACACCTGCATATCTTAGAAATTTGTCTGTACCAACATCTTTTCACCAAAGCCAGATTAAATGTATTCCCATCAGAAGTGTTAAATAGCAGACTTAGAGGTATTCCTTATCAAAATAGGATCTCTGTATGCTCTCAGGACTTCGACTGCATGAGGCACATTTTTTTGCATTGCGGACAATATTATCAAGCTAGGGAACTATTGATTAAAGCACTATTGGCAAATTGACTGGGTCAATCTGAAGCCTATTATACCAAATATCTTCTGGACGACAAGTCCAAAGATATCACAGTGGCCATGGCAAAGTTTCTTTCAGTAGTCATACGAATCAAAGATCAACATGACTAAACAAATAACGCTTCGGTCTCCCTTCCCTGGGGGGGTTGTCTGTATGAATCTGTATTTTATTCTGAATCCATGTTATGGGTTGTTGGACCACAATAAAGATTTATATATATTGCTAGCTCATTAAGCAATATCTTGGTGATATACAATTAAATCATTACAACATCATAAAATGAGCTACTTTGGGAGAAAAGGCGGGAAATAAAAAATAAAACTACTTAGAGTAGATCCACTGAAATAAATAAACATGACTCATTTAGGACAATATATTTCAATAGGTCTGCTCAGAGGAGCACTAGCATTGCATTCAAACCAAGATTAGTAAAATCCAGAAATCATAAAATTCAGAAGAAATGGCCAGTGCTTAATCAAACCATTTATCTAAAAATTCTTGTTTCTATTTTTTTTAAAATGATATTTATTGAAAATTTTTAAAATTACAAAGAAAAGACAAAGCAGAGAAAGAAAAAACAAAAAAAACCAAAAAAGAGAAAAAAACAAACCACATCCAACAATACAAATTCAAAAAACAAAAATACACCACAAACAGATAAAAATAAAACCAACATTCTCAAATCTTCAACTTTCATTACCTTCTTTCTTTGACCTCCTCCTCCTCCCTTTTTTTGTATCCCAGTTAATAATTATCGCAGCAAATCCTTTCCATATTTCATAATATTCTGTCATTACAATACCTTAATCTATTTTCATTTTATCTTATAAAAAACCTTAAAACTTAAATCTTATTTTTACCCACTTCTCATAACCATAATATTCTTGCCTAATTCTTTAAATATTTTTGCTAGAGCCAAGTAATTTTGTTCCAACATTTTTCTAACAGTCATCAATTTTATAAAACAATCCTAGTAATAAAAAAAAAGAAATAGAAACAATCCAATCTTCATCCAGCGTCCCTTCCTCCTGGTCCCGGGTTTTGTCAGTCCTTTTTATCCCATCGATCTAGCGCATTAACCTGGTAACCTTATATCCGAGGCCCTTAAGTCCCTTTCATGTCCCTTCCGCAGCTCTTCTTCATATTCACCTTTCACTCATGGGAACTCCAGCTTGGTAAT